AAAAGGGCAAGGTCAAATTTCAGGGTCTCCAGAGGCCACATGGAAGGCAAGGGGAGGTGGAGCCAGGGATGCAGGAATTAACGCAGGCAGCACAGGCACCGGGTACGAAGGGAACCGGATGACCCAGACAAACTACAGGCCTGAATTCAGCAGTACAAACGGGGCAGAGTGAAGCGGAGGGGAAATTGAGGTATCTAAAAAATAAAGTAGGAAGATGGGTGGATCTGAGGAAGGGGAAGAAATCAAAATTGGTTTCCAGGTTAATTGTAGGAAAAGCAGTTGGAATGGAGACTTGCGCAGAACATCTGCAGCCATCTTTCAGGTAAAGATGTGCGAACCACCAAGATGCATAGAGCAGGGTGGATAAGCTATAGTCTCTGGGGGAATGCAGAGGGCGATAATTCTCAGTCCAGTCCTGGGAACAACAATTATTAAGGAGTAGAGGAAAAGATCTCTGTCATCACACGCAGAGGAGGGCCGAGGCATGAAGAGTTGATGCTTCATATGTCATACTGACACAGGAAAATAAAAACTCCCAACCTGAACGATATCTGGGACGAGATCGTGTTCTCTAAATCAAAGAATGAATTTTAGGAACTACAGAGGTTAAGAGCAGAATGTACTTATTGAGAGAAAGAAAAGAAAGCTTCTGTCCAAGAGAGAGACAGAAAGGGGCTTGATTGGGTTACCCCAAGACTGTCTTTTTAGCAAAACCATGAGGTGAGGTGGGTCCAAGGTAGGGGGAAAGTGGACAAAACTATGGTCAGCCAATAAGAATTGTTCAGGTAAAATTGATTAAATCAGGATCAAATGGGGAAGCGAATCGCCCAGCAAGCGTGCATGAATACAGAACAGGGGCTTTTCCTGTAGGGGTTGGGTCAAGGACTCTCTAAGGTGATCGCTCCCTATTTAGAATGTCAATCCCTGAGGTCCATCTCTAGGGAGGTATGTGGATGTGTTTGTTTACTCTTTTGTTTTGAGATCTGGCCTACAGCAAGTACCACCTCACCATTTGCAAGGTATCTTGTCTTTCATACTGGCTCCTTTGAGGGCCTGGCCCTGTCTGACTGCCTATATTTCTATCTAACTCAGCTGCCTATAACAATATGTCTTAGCATTTTATGTCTCAGCCTAGAAGTGTGCTGTTATATTGTGATAGTGAAGAAAAGTTTTTTGCGGGGGAAATATTTTCTTTTTTCACTTGCTGTGGTGTCCCCAGCCTCTTTATGCCTATAATCCCAGCATTCATTTGGGGGGCTGAGGCAGAAGGACCGAACTGGGCAACTTGGCAAGCACTAGTAGAAAGGAAAGAAAGAAGGGGAAAAGGAAGGGAAGGCGCAGGGAGGGAGGGAGGAAAGAAGGAAGGAAAGCCGGGTGTGGTGGCGCGCGCCTGTAATGCCAGCACTCAGGAGGCTGAGGCAGGATTGTCGGGAGTTCGAGACAAGCCTGGGCTACAAAGTGAGCTCAATGCCAGCCTGAACCACATAGTGAGACCCTGTCTCAAAAAGACAAAAAAAAAAGAAGGAAGGAAGTGTTACCTCCAGTGGTCTGGGGTTGAGGGTGTCCGTGTATAGTCAGTTTCTGTCTGGGGTGACAGACAGAACAAGGTGCCCATGGATGAAAAGAAAAATAAGAAGGGGCTGGGGATTTAGCTCAGCGGCAAAGCGCCTGCCTGGCAAGCGCAAGGTCATGAGTTCGGTTCCCGGTACCGGAGAAAAAAAACCAAAAAAAAAAAAAAAAAGAAAATAAGAGAAAGCTACAGGATCAGGGGGCAGGCAGCCTCTTGGACTGAAGCCCAGATTACCATCCTCCTTAGCCTTTTATTGGGACACAAACAAAAAGGAGCAACAGGGCAAATGGGAGGAGTAATTAACAGGATTAGCGAGGACAATACAACTCAATTATCACTGGAATGAGACTTGACTCCCTTAGCCATCACGTCATCATCCCTTCGGGCATATCTCAGCAAGGCATCTAGTGCTGTCCCAGTGGCTTTCCACAGGGACACAGGTTCTGCTGTCATCTCCTTTTACACTAATGCTTTTGCTAGACTTCCTCCAGAAGCAAACAATCATATGGCTTGGTGAGGCTTGAAGTCCCACGTAGGTAATACATTGAAAGATGAACTACAGAATATCATTTTTGGGGCTGGGGATATAGCTCAATGGCCTAAGCGCCTGCCTGGTAAGCACAAGGTCGTGAGTTTGATCCCCGGTACTGCGAAAAAACCACAGAGGGGTCCCCAGACTACCTTCACTTGGCGTGTCTCTCTCTCCAGTGCAGAAAGAGGGGGAGGAGTCTAGACCAGTGCAAAGTGGAAGTACTTTTATTGCAGGTGTTGCAGGAAGTGGTATGAAACCGCTCCAGGGTAGGAGTGGAGACGCTCAGAGCTGAGACACTGCAGAAGCGAGGCCACAGTCCTGTCTTATGGGGCAGTCTTCACCAGCTTGAAAGTCTCCGCTCCCTTGGTTGATTGGCTGTTGGGCTTGTTGTCATGAGCTTGGTCTTGTGGACTAATAGAGGAACGAAGGTAGACATGGCAACCCGCACTAGGAGGGGCAGTGCTGCCTGCACACAGGCAGGTGTCCAACTCGGAGACTGTCAACTCTAAAGCACAAAGCTGCTTGAAAACTTTCTTATAGCCACATAGAGCCTGCGTTTTCTTTTCTTTTCTTTTCTTTTTTCTTCTCTTTCTTTTCTTTTTGTCTTTTTGAGACAGGGTCTTGCTATGAAATTCAGGCTGGCCTTGAGCTCACTTTGTACCCCAGGCAGGTCTCCAACTCCCAACGATCCTCCTGCCTCAGCCTCCCGAGTGCTGGGATCACAGGCATGTACCACCATGCCCAGCTACAGAGCCTACATTTTCAACCCTCTAAAAAGGGCCTGGGTATTTTTAACCCTCCCCAGCAGTCTCTTCTGACCCTACAGAAGAAAAGAAAAGAAAAGAAAGAAGGAAAGAAAGGAGAGAAAAGCGAAAGAGAAAAGAAAAAGAGGGAGAAAGGGGCTTCACATCTTTGTTTTTCTGCCTCTACTCATGCCCCATCTCAAGCTCACAAAGGCTTGTGAATGCATAAGAGAATTTTGTCTTGCTTCAAGACTAGCCCCGAGCTGTGGCTGGAAGTTACTTGGAGACAGTGTCTCTGCCCAGGAATGGGTGCTGGCCTCTGCTGCAGGTGTTAGGGAAAACAGATTGAACACGGGAAGAAATGACACTGAGAAGGTTTAGGCGGAAGTTTATTACACCAGTGGGCCTGACGGGGATCTGTCCCAGAGTCAGAGCCCCACCGGGCCAGGTTTTGGGACTTGTACGGAGAGCAAGCAGGAAGATACAAAGGCAGATTTGGCGCCTTATGATTGGAGGGTTGGGTGACATGGGTTTATAAGGGAGTTTAAACACCGCAAGTCATATTGCAAGGCCATCAGTTAAACATGCATGGGTTACACAAAGGAAGAAATGTCCCATTATCAGGCTTGTCTTTTTGAGACAGGGTCTCGCTATACTGTTCAGGCTGGCCTTGAGCTCACTTTGTAGCTCAGACTGGTCTTGAACTCACGATGATCTTCCTGCCTCAGCCTCCCGAGTGCTAGGATTACAGGCATGCAGCACCATGCCTGGCTTATCCAGACATGTCCATTTGGTTTGGGCAGGCATTCTTGGCAGGCTTTATTTAAAATTTTAATTTCCCTTTCACAGGGAGGTGAGGGGTAGACCCTGGGCATGGCCAAGACCTGTCCACAGCTTTAGTCCAGTGGAGGAAACGGGAGACTGAGACTGTGAAGTGTAAGCAGAAGCAGGGGCAGCCGGAGCAGAACCCAAGCTCCCAGGTGAGGTTCGAGGCCCACAGTGAGCTGAGCCTGGGGCAGCTGGGGCTGGAGGCGCAGGCGCCTGGACAGTGTGCTTGGGGCTCAGGGTCTGCAGCATCTTTCCTGGGGCACCCAGCTTCTCCCCTCCCTGCTGGGTATCCTCACCAGGTGTGCCTGTGATGGGGTGAGCAGCTCTCATCACAGCTAAGCCCCAGATTTGCAGTTGCGCTGGGGACCTAAAGGCCGAGGGTAGGGCGTGTTTACTACCATGGAGGGTGGGGAGCAGGCCTCTCCCTGAAGTGCCCACATCCTCGGGAGCCCTCCAGCCTGTTCTCCCCCTGACCACCTGCCCTTACCTGCAGCTCCTGCAGTTTAAATAAATGACCTCAGAAACAAAAGGGGTTCACCTCAGCCTTTCTTTTCCCATCATCTGTGGAACTGTACCAGCAGACGGCTCTTTTCTCCGCAGAGGGATTGGGCCACACTCTCCTTAGAGTCAAGGTCTTTCTTTAAAAAAAATCCTTAGATAGTGCCTTGTATTGTCATTTTATGGGGGCAGAGGCACCCCCGCTGATAACTGCAGCAAGCTGTTTAACCTCCTGTTCTCATCAGTGAAGTGCTAAGCCTTTCTTCATAGGGCAGTGGTGAGGGCCAAAGGAGATGGATCATCCGGGGAATGGTGCAGCCTGGAACCTGGTACCAGGGAGAACAGTCAATTTTTCTGGACCCCTGTGGTCCCTCTGTTTGGGTTCCCTGTTGTGGGTAATCTACTGACCATTCCTAGAAGGCACACAGACCTCAGAATACCAGTGGAGGGAGGTAGTCCTTTGTTATGCATGGATGACTTATCATTGGAAGAAAAAGAGGGAGTTACCAGCAGTAACTTGCAACTTACAAGGTTGAAGTAGAAAGTGGAAATTCTGAAGACTTTGTCCTAAGGAAAACATTCCCTTATGCTTAGGAGTTTGGAAAGGAAACTTCACAGGAGGCCTAGTGGTTTGGATAAAAGCCCACTAAGAGCCAGGGGTTTGAGGACTGAGAACAGACCACAGAGACCCTTGTAGACAAAGGCGGATATCTGAGCTTTCAAAATTTCTGGGGTGGTGGTAGCAGTGGGCGGGGTCCTTCCATTGTGATGGTAGTTTGCTCTTTGTGGCTCTGCTTGCATCAGTGATTACTGCTTTGAAATGTGTGGCTAATTTGTGTCTGTCTGTCCAGGGTCAGAAGGACAGGAGCTGCAGGGCTCTGATCTTGCCAACAAGGAGCTACACTACACCACTTTGGCATTACCAGCTTCTGCGGAAGAGAAATCACATACGTATATTGTGATTTGACAACTATCCTTTTGCCTTGGGACAGGTAATTTCATCCCCTTAGGCCTCCATTCACTTCCTCTAAAATGAGAACAATGGGGGTTTTATTTTCGAGGATTTGTCTAGCGTTGAGTTCCTCAGCTCCACATCCTTGGAGCAGTGACCCTGTTTATGGTGAATCCCATGTAAACTCTGCTGATCTTAAAATCTCTTCTCAGGATGGCAGTGTTAGTGGTTAGTGCTGTACCACTAGCCCCTGATTCCATCCCCAGCACCAAAAATTAAAAAAAAAGAGAGACCAAGAGAGAAAAAAAATCTCTTCTTTGTTGACTTCCTCAGCTGAATGTATTTTGGAAGCTAAATTTGCAAGAAGTTTCCCCACTGGGGAGTTTATGGTTCAGACCACAGATCTGAGTCTAAATGCTGTTCCATCGCTTTCCAGTAATGAAGCTACTAGAGGAACTTTTTGTTGTTTCAAGATAGGCTTTCGCTGTATTGCCCCTGCTGGTCTATATTTGGAGTTTAAGTGATCCTCCTGCCTCAGCTTCTTTTTTTTTTTTTTTTTTTGGTTTTTTGGTTTTTCTCCGGTACCGGGAACCGAACTCACGACCTTGCGCTTGCCAAGCAGGCGCTTTTGCCGCTGAGCTAAATCCCCAGCCCCTGCCTCAGCTTCTTGAGTACTGGGGCCACAGGCCCATACCACTGTGCCCAGGTTATGTTTTTTTTTATGGCTGCAGAAACAAATCACAAGTTTAGCAGCTTAAAACAACACAAACTTTTTGTTCTGTCATCTATGCAGACTCTGACACCACAGCACGGGGTGAAAAATCAAGGTGGCAGGCTGCGATCTTCTCTGGGACAGGGTGGGTCCATGTTCTTGCTCATCCAGGTTAGTGGCAGAATGCAGTCCTCTGACAAGGCGAGTGAGGTCTGGTATTGGTTGAGGACTGCACCACCGTAGAGCTCCTAGAGACCACTTGTGTGCCTGGGATCTCGGAATCCTTCTTGTCTTCAAGGTTACCAATAGTGGATTGAGTTCATCCCACTCTTCTGATTTTGCCTCTTTTTCCGTTGTGACGTCTTTCTGGTTTGTTGGATAACCGAAAATAATCTCTGTAATTGTGATCCCATGTGAGGTCGCTTGCCACATGAGGAAACCTAAATTCCAGAGTTCCTGGAGTTCTGATGTGGACATCTTTGGGAGGGAGAGACATTATCGTGCCTACCACAGATATGTAAACGAGTTCCCCTCCACCTCAGTGTCTTATAATTGGAGGCAGAAATTACATTCACTTTTCAGTATTGTAAAGATTACCTAGTACATTAATATGTCAAGAACACCTTACTCATAGTATTTGCTCACTAAATAGAAGTTAACTTGGAAACAATGACTTGCTTAATGGCTTGCATTTATAAAATAGTTCATTCAGTGGCATAATCACAGAAGCCCTGAAGGGTAGAAGAAACTATTATTTCATCAGCACTAGTGGGTCCTGTTACAACCTTGCCGGAGAGACCCTTTCAACCCTGTGCCTGGCCCTAGTGACAGTCACTGTAGCCCAGTGGCCCTCAGTGTGGTCCCCGTCCAGCAGCATGGCTAGCACCTGGGACCTGGCCGAAGTGCACTTTTGGGAGCTTGCATTAGTCTTGCTCAATCCAACCTCTGGAAATAGTGTCCGGTGATCTGTTCCACAGCCTCCAGGTGATCCAGGTGCTCAGTGAAATGGCAAAACACTGTTGTACCTCTCTTCTTTTTCTCCCTCTCTGCCACTTCATTGGTGTCCACCCCTAGTAGCTATAAGATCTTTGCCTGTTCAGCAGTCACTGCTGCCCAGTACCCAGCACACACTTGCTCACAGTGGTCACAGAAATTGCTATTGGAGGGATGATGGCAGGTAGGAGTGGACACTCGACCTACTTCTCAAGGAGTAAATCCACCCACCAGTGAATTCCTTAAGTGCTCTGTCATTAAATAATTGCTTGATATGCTAAGTGCTTTCTGCTCAAGCGTCTCTGGATTGCATATACACATACACATGTATATATTTCTTTATTTGTATTTGGGGTACTTGTGGTTTTTGGATAGACAATACCGTGTTTTTGCTTTCCCATTTAAAACAATGGAATATAGGTTCACACTCTGATTTCTACACAAATACCAAAACACTTCCCAGGACATTTTTAGCAATTAGATAAGAGATGCCTGTAAGTTTGTAAATCACCTTGTTCATTTTTAGCTTCTCATTGTGTCTCAGGGGGCTGGACATAAATGCATAATTGTCAGGTTGGCTTTACTACAGAGACAAAATACCTGACACCCAAAATTAAGGAAGGAAAGGTTTATTTACCTCACAGTTTGTGGAGGTTTCAGTCTGTACTCAGCTGGCTCCAAGGAAGGGTGGCATGGCAGAGGGGCGACTCTTCAAGGTGGCAGAGGACAGCAAAAGCAGCAAGAGCAAAAGAGGGAACAAGCTTCTTTTCCTCTCTTATATTGTAAGCAGGCTACCTGCCCTAGGGTGGGTGTGGCACTCACACCATGTCCTTGTCCTCCTCTTGCACAGGATGAGATTGTTTATTTATTGATTCATTGTTTTGTGGTACCCGGGATTGAACTCACAACCTTGCGTTTCCCAGGCAGGCACTTATGCCACTGAGCTATAGCCCCAGCCCAGGATGAGGATGTTTAAAAGTAAGGAACCTGGACCCCTGCTGAGTTGCTTACCTAAACTTCTAAACTCCTCAAGTAGAGACAGTGTATCAAACATTACATGCACCTAGACCAAACTGTAATCATTTTAGGCTTCATTTTTCCCCCTCCAATATATATATATATATATATATATATGAAAAGTAATAAAACTGTAGCTTTTCCATATATATATAAACTATAGCTATTTTTTTTTTGGTTTTTGGTTTTTCTCCGGTACCGGGAACCGAACTCACGACCTTGCGCTTGCCAGGCAGGCGCTTTTGCCGCTGAGCTAAATCCCCAGCCCCCAGTTTTTCTTCTTAATACCTTGTGAACAGTCTTCTATGCTTGTACTATGCAGATCCCAGCATGGAACTGCATTATAATCTGTTCATCTCCTTGCTGGGTGGACATGTATGTCATTTCAATAAGCTTTTGCTGTTTTGTTTTTTTTTAGACAGGGTCTCACTCTGTAATTCAGGCTGGTCTTGAACTCACTACATAGTGCAGGCTGGCCTTGAACTTCTAGTATTCCTCCTGTTTGAGCCTCCCGAGTACTAGGATTACAGGTATGCACCAACATGCCTGGCTAACTTTCTCACTCATTAAGCAATGCTTCTACAACCTTATTCTTATGATGAAAGGCCTATCTGGAGTTCTCTTTAAGGAATTCACTAGAGAGTCAGCCAACCACTGAGAAAAATCTGTCTTTACTACCTAAGGCTGATTTAAAGTGTGTTGTTGTACAACCCACAAATGGTGTTTTCCAATAGGCTCATCCATCTTATTCTGTGGACCGTATGCAGAATGAATTTGGGCTTCTTTCAATAAGTAAACCTCCCCTTGGAGGAGATTCATCACTATTTATCTTTGGGGGTTGCCAGGAGTATATTCTTTGGAAGAACTGAACACCGTTAGGGACAATAGCAGTATTGTTAGACTAATCCACAGGAATAATCCCATTGTGACTAATGAGTTATGATATGTTTTTTAAAGAATAGTTGCTGATGCCTTTTGGGTGTATAAATTGTGTTTGGTTTGGGTAGACTGGCAGCACTTCTTGTTCATCCATCACCATTTTAACTACACTTAAGAACAAATTTTTTTTTCTGTTAGTACTGGAGATTGAGTCCAGGGTCTTTGCACTGAGCTACATCCCCAGCCCATTTTCAACTCTTGTTTTGAGACAGGGTCTCACCAAGTCACTAAGTTGCCCAGACTGGGCTCCATCATGCAGTTCTCTTGCCCCAGCCTTCCAGACTGCTGGGATTACATAAATCTATCATTAATATTGTCAATGTTTCAGGACAGTTATGAAATAGCTCTAATACAACCAGCTGTCCCTTTTTCTGTACCCCTCCCCCAACATGTTGCTTTTGGAAGCTCATGTGTTGGCAGTGGTTCACAAAGACCCAGTCTTTTGATCTGAACAGCCCAACCTTCCATCACCATGCCAGTCACTTGCTTCCTCTGCTCTCTGGGCCCTCCTGCAGCCTGTGGTAGAGGCAGCTCTAACAACTACCAGCCAGTGTAGGAAGTTGAAGCTGAGGCTTGATTACTCCCTGTCCAACTCAGAAAGCTGAGGGCTGCCTTCCGTTTGGGGCCTAAGATCTCCCCTGTCATCCATTCTGGGTGTTCCTCTTGCTCCATCACCTAGTGCTGCCCTCTGTCCTAGCCCCTTCCACTACCTCCTCGTCCATTATCTTCTTCCAGGTCACCTTATGACCTTCCTATCAGCGATACCCATAGTGGGTGCTGCTTTTTAATTGGCTCCTTTGGCCAGAAATTGTGCCCAGCTGTCCCCAACGTTACTAAATGAAGAATGGAAGTGAGAGGTGACAAACAGTAAAAGCGTGGCAGGAACACAACTTGAGAGGCCTCATTAAGAGGCCTCATCAAGCTGCCTCCAGACTAGACCCGAAAGGCTGCATCCTTCAAAATCTCTGGGTTTCTTTCCAGCTTTCTTCTCAGGCCAGTTCTTCCCAATGCGCTTCTTCGCAGAACAATTCTGGGTGAGGGACCCTGTGTTTTAAAGTGGTGCTGCGCATGTCAAGAACCAACCTCACGACTGGTCTTCCCTTTCTAGCACCTAACTCCAGTCAAGGGGCTTCTTTCTTCTTCCTCCCATGGGGATGCCTGTCACAGTAGCTATTCTTAACTTTTAGAAAGTGTCTGGTGTAGAGAAGAGCATTTAATAGTTTACCTTACAATGTATAACTTCTTGTAACTCCAGGGACTTTGAGTTCTGCTAGGCCATATGGTGGTTTGTTCTCTCCAAAGCATAGTGTAAAAGGAAATGAAAACAGGATCTTAGTCCCAGTGAAATGCTGCTGGGACAGCATGAGATGTTCTGCTAAGATATATCCAAAGGAACAGTAAACACATAGGCCAGGAAGGCCAAAGTATAGCCCCTGGGATAGTTAAACAAATGTCCTCAATAATCTTCTTAATCATTCCTCCCATTTCCCTATTCCTACTTTATGTTAGAGAATCTTAATAAAAGGCTGGAGAAAATTGCATTCGGGGATTCAGTCCCAGAGACTGTGGCGCCCTGATCCTATAACTGTGTCTCTCTTGTTTTCTCTTTTTTTTTTGGTTTTTCTCCGGTACCGGGAACCGAACTCACGACCTTGCGCTTGCCAGGCAGGCGCTTTTGCCGCTGAGCCAAATCCCAGCCCCTCTCTCTTGTTTTCTTATCATCTGCCACACCTCGTTTTCAGGACAGTCTAGTTGGCTGGCTGTGGTGGAGCACGCCTGTAATCCCAGCGCTTGGGAAGCTGAGGTAGAAGGCTCCTTGTGAGTTCGAAGCCAGCCTGGGCTGCATAGTGAGTTCAAGGCCAACCTGAACTAATAACAAGACCCTGTCTCAAAATACCACACCCCCACCAAAAAAAGTGTCTGAAGCCTTGCTGCTTGCTGTTGGGGACCTCTGATTAGTACCCTCTTCCTCCTGCTTCCTTACAGCAGTTTTTCATGGGTGTCAGTCCTGCCTAACCCAACTCTGTCAATCATCCTCCCTACCCAGAAACCCGTGAACCTGGGGAACCCAGCGGGAAGCTGGCAGTGTGCTGGGAGAAGTGGCAGGTGCCTCTTATAAGGAAAAGCCAGACCCTGTTTCTCCTTGAGACCTTCCCCTACCATGACTCAACATTTTTTTCTTTGAAAAATTCCAGACACCTGTTTTGTTTAGCTTCTCAAACCTCCCCTGGCCCGCATGGCCACTTCCTTCCGGGGAAACTGGCCTGCAGAGAAGGCAGAGGTAACGATATGATAGCACTAGGGACCTTTGCATTCCACACCCAGAAGATGGCAGATGAGCCCTATCTGTCCAGCAGCCCTACATCCTGGCCTGTGTGGCTCAGGAAGCAGCATGTGCAGCCCTCTGGCTTACAAGTTGGGAGATTTCTTTTTTTTTTTTTAAGACTGGGTTGCTCTATGTAGTTTCAGCTTGTTTTGCAATCACTGTGTAGCTAGCCCAGCCTGGGCTCAAACTTGTACTGATCCTCTTGCCTCAGCTTCCCAAGTCCTGAGATTACAGGGGTGCACTGCTGTGCCTGGCGGGGAGACTGAGGTTGCCACATGGATTGTTTTCGCACATACATTTTTACTGCACTCAGAAATCCATGTGGGGGAGATGGTGTTATTTTTTCTCCACGGAAGTGAACACTGGGGCTTGTAGGGATTGCGTTTGTTCTTGTTTGTGGCTATTGTAGGTAGAGCTGGGCTGGGGTCCAGGGGTTCCTGCTATACCCAAGGAGCTTTGGCTTCCTTGTAGCTGCCCCTGTCACCAAGTCAAGCGGTGTTTCTTCAGTAAGCCAAGGTCCTGGGCAGGAGGAGGGTCCAGCGCTGTCACCCAGCACTGTCTACCTGACAGCACCCCTTGGCTATTGGCACCCTCATCCAGGAAGTTTCCTGTTCTTGATCAGGCTGTCAGCTCCTTCCTTGTGTTTCTTAGGGTCCCCCTGGACCTCTAGCTCTTGATTTTTGAGATACCAGCAGTTTTTTAAAATCATGACAGCCCTTCTTATCCCTTCCTTCCAGACTTTGAAGACAGTCACAATGAGAATTCAAGGAAGTATCACCCTACTCAGTCTCCTAATCATCTTGGCTGCGCTCTGCAATACAGGTGAGTGGTCTGTAGACCGGAAACATCCAGACTACCTGGGCCATAAACTTCCTTTTACTTTCACCTCCAGAAAGCAGGTGCCACTGGCTTTAGATTCCACCCCAGTCCCTCATCCAGGCCTGGCTTTTGTTCTTTGGCTTTCTGTGTTCCTGGGATTAAGTGACAACTTCTTTTTATGTCCCGGCCCTCAGCAGGCACCTTCCTGAGTCACAGCCGTCCAGGTCGCAGGGCTGCTGCTTTTTGTAGGGGGTCGGGTTGCAGAGCAGCTTTGGTTTCACCTGTCTCACTACAAGATACTTGGGCACTTTGGCAGATGCCATGCTTAGAGCGCTGTGCAAGTGGATCTGGAGCATTTAGAGCTCAGTCCTTCCTACCCGTGGCTTCTCCTATGCTATGGTGGTAGTGGTCAGAGTAATAGTTTCTGCTGCCACAGCTAAAGCTTACCACACTTGGGTGCCAATCCCCAGTCTGAGCCTTCTACATGTATTTACTTGTCCCACGTGCCAACCCAATGGAATAAATATTCTTTTTATTCCTGTTTTGCAAATGAAAAGGTTGAGGTTCAAAGAGATGAAGTAACTTGTAAGGTAATACCCACAAGTGAGTGGCATGCCACAAAGTGAACCCGGTCTGGGCCCAGAGCTCCTGCTGCTACTCCTGCTGCAGGCCACCCCTCCCAGGGGCGCACGCTTCCGTGGGCAAGCCCTTTCCTGCCAGCCTTCTCTTGATTCCTGGAGATGATGTCATGAGTCTTCTATAGAAATGGGAACAGTTGTCTTACTTGCTTTATTACTTGCTACCTTGATAAGGATCAAGTGTCATTTTCTTCCTGTGTCGTGTTGGTACCACTATAGGTTTGTGCATACGCATCTATGTCTGTGATGGAGAAAAAGAAATAGCAATACAACAAACAAGCAATAAAAAGAAAAATGATGGTGCCTGCAGTGTTGTGGTGTATTAGTAGCTCCCTATAACAACTGTTGTTATGTAGTTGGAACTATGCCAAAGTCTATCTCATTTAAGCCTCTGGCCATCCTGTGAGGGGTCAATGCATGTGTCCACTTGCTCAAGGACACACTTGAATCCTCTTGCTCTGTCTAGCAAAACACAGAAGTCATGACTTCCTCCTGGCCCCAGTCCCCTTGTCTGCCTCAGTAGCCCTAGCCAGTGTGAGTTGTGATGTTATCCACCCGTGTCTCAGTGCACCATTCCTCTCTCAGTTCTTACACCCAATGTGTTTGCGGTACTTAGAGCGGTGTGTATCTGTCTATGGGCCAGACTTGGCTTTGGGATCATAAGCTGCGGGTCTGGGATACACTTAAGCCTCTGCTCAGAGAAGTGGAGTAGGAGACTCACCACACACACACACACACACACACACACACACACACACACGAGACTTCCTTTATGCTTCCCAAAACATGAAGGAGTCCTCAAGGAACTTCTTTCAGGCCAACATATTGTAGGCAGAAACATCCCACCAGCTCCAAAGACATTGGATCATTACAGTGAAGCAGATCAAATAACACAAAGTGATCCCATCGTTACAGAGGTGGAGATTCAGGACAACTTCCTCTGGGAACCAGGGAGGAGGAAGAGCCCAGAGACTGGCGGTCCGGAAGGTGGAGGTCTGCCGTGGCTTAGTAGCTAAAATATCAAAGAACCATCCACGGCCTTACAGGTTGTCTTGGATCCTGGTTCCCCTGGTTCCCAACCTTTGTTGTTTCCTGCTCTTCTCCTCAGGATGTGTAGAAGAATGTCTTGGTTAACCCCCGCTTGAGTTTTATCTATTTATTTATGAGTGTATATTTGCCATAACGATCACATTCATTATAGGGAATTTGTACTTGTATATAATAGAGCTAATTCTTTTCCCCCTCCCTCTCCCCTCCCTCCAACTCTTCTTTCCCTCCCCATTTACAAAAGCTTTGTTTCCACCTTTTTCCTTCAATTAAAAAAAATCCCCTTTCCCTTCCTTCCTCCCTTTTCTTTGTTCCCCTTCCCATTTGAACAAGTTCTTCCTTCTTCCTAGTAGCTATCCTCCATCATGTTCCCTGTTTATTTACCCTTTGGCTTTCTCACACAAGAGAAACAATGCAGTGTTTAAAGCTGTATGTCTAATTTACTTCACTTAAAATTATGGTCTTGAGATGCGTGCACCGTCCTGCAGATGCGTCAAGTTTATCCTTTATGGCAGAGTAGAACCCGGTTGTATATAAACACCGTATTTTCTTTATCCATTCATCCATTGATGGGCTGTTTACAAGATGTAGCTGTTATAAGTTGTGATGCTATAAACATGGCTATGCATATATCACTGTGTATGATGCCTTTAACTCTTTCAGAGAGATGCCTAAGAGATGCACATCTGGGTCAAATGGAACCTCTACTTTGAGTTTTGGGAGGAATCTCTATACTGATTTCCATAGTGGTTGTACCAGTTTACACTCCCGCCAGCAATGGAGAAGGGTTTATTCTTCCCCATAGCCTCACCAGCATTTGTTATTGGTTGATTTTTGATGATAGCCACTCATTGTGGAGTGAGGTGGAATCTCAGTGTTGTTTTAATTTACATTTCTTGATGACTAGTGTTGTTCAGCACTTTTTAATGGAAAAAAAGTAAAACAAAAATTCATAACAAAATCATAGGCGAATAAGAGTTAATATATTACAAGTTATCTTTAAAGTAGTTGCTCAGGGTACAAGACATGGGCATAAAAATTTCTCCAATCAATATTAGCACAAATCTTCTCTTTTAATGAACTAAGAGACACTAATAGTATAAGGGACTTGCATTTCCCCCCCTTTTTCCTCTGTTCTTTCCCCTTTGACCCATCCTAGTTCTTTTTTTGTTTGAACAATTTCTTCTCATTTCACAATATATATTGTAAATTTTAGATCTTATTTACTCTTTCAGCTTCTTACACCAGGGAGACAACACAATGCTTACACACATGAGTCTGATTTGTTTTGCTTATGAGTATTTTCTCAAGTTACATCTTTTTACCTATAAAAGTTTCAGGTTTATCCTTCTTTATGACTGAGGAGTGCTCCATTGTATAAAAATACCACATCTTTTTTATCTATTCCTTAGCTAATGGACATTTGGGTTGTTTCCAAGATCTAGCTATTACAAATTATGCTGCTATAAACATGGGTGCACATGTATTGCTGTGGTATGATGTTTGTAATTTTTCTAGGAGAATACACAGAAGGGGAATAGCTGGATCAAATGGAATCTCCAGTCCTAGGTTTGAGGAATCTCCACACTGATTTCCATAGTGGTTGCTCCAGTCTACACTCCCACCAACAGTGAAAAAGGGTTCCTTTCCCCCCACAGCCCCTCCAGATTTATTATTAGTTGATTTCTTGGTAATATCCATTCTTTCTGGGGTGTGATGGAATGTGAGTGTTGTTTTAATTTGCATCTCTCAAATGATCAGTGGTGTTGAACATTTCTCCATATATTTGCTTGCTGGTTGTATTTCTTCATCTGAAGTGTGTATTCATGTCAGATGCCCAGTTTTGGATTGGGTCTTTATATTTGGGAGGTCTGATTTTTTTGAAATCTTTTTATATTCTCAATAGCAATCCTTTGTCTGAGGAACAGCTGGCAAACATTTTTCCACACATTGTGGGTTGTCTCTTCACTCTGTTGGTGGTTTCTCTTGCTCTGCAAAAGCTTTTTAATAAGATCAGATCCCAGTTGTTGATTCTTTGTGATAATTCCTCTGAGATTGAGGTTTATATATAAAGTTTTTGCCTACACCAATGTCTTTAAATGTTTTACCTATTTCAGCAGATTTAATATTTCTGTTTTAGAATTTAGATCTTTGATCCATTCCAAATTTAGTTTAGTGCATGGTAAAAGACGTGGGTCCAATTTTAATCTTGGGCATGTGCAGAGCCAGTTTTTCCAGCACCATTAATTACAGAGGCTATCTTTCTTCCAGTAAATGTGTTTGGCACCTTTATCAAATATAAGGTAGCTGAGAATGTCTGGAGTTGTTTCTGCACCTTCTGATCTGTTCCACTGATCTTCTGGTCTGGTTTTTTTGGCAGTACCATGCTGTTTTTATTATTATAGCTTTATAGTATAATTTGAAGTCAGGGATTGTGATGCTCCCTGCCCTGCCTTTGTTGCCCAGGAATTGCGTTTGCTATTCTAGGTCTCTTCTGGTTCCAAATGAATTTTAGGATTGTTTTCCCTAATTCTATGAGACATGCTATTGGAATTTTGATTGTAATTGCATTAAATCTATATAACAGTTTTTGAAGTATGGCCCTTTACACTATATTGTTTTTACCTACCCAAGAGCAAGGGATATCTTTTCATTTTCTGATATACACTTCTATCTCATTTTTCAGAGTACTGTGGTTTTCAATGTAGATGTCTTTTACATCCTTTGTTAGATTGATTTCTAGGTATTTCAATTTTTTGATGCTACTGTGAAAGGTATTGTTTCCCTAATTTCTCAGTGACTTTGCTACTGGTGTACAGGAAGGCTATTGATTTTTGAGTGTTGACTTTGTATCCAGCTATGCTGTTGAACTTGTTTATTAAATAGAGTGATTTTTAGTGGAGTTTTGGGGGTCTTTTATGTGGAATATCATGTTATCTGCACATAATGATAATTTAACTTCCTTTACTATTGTCATTGCTTTTATTTCTTTCTCTTGTCTAATTGCTCTGGCTAAAGTTTCAAGGGTTATGTTGAATAAGAGTGAAGACAGTGCACATCCTTGTCTTGTTCCTGATTTTAGAGAGAAAGCTTTCAGTTTTTGTCCATTTAGTATGATGTTGGCTATTGGTTTGTCATAGGTGGCTTTTATCAGATTGAAATAAAAAACCATCTATTCAAATTTTCTATAGGGTTTTTATCATGAATGAGTGCTGGACTTTATCAAAAGCTTCTTCTGCATCTATTGAAATGATCATTGATTTTTGTCTTTGGATCTGTTGATATGGTGTATTACATTTATTGATTTATGTATATTGA